TATTTTGATGTTATACCTAGCCAGCTCTCTTGCCACAAGGCCAGTTCTTCTTTCAGTACGCTCATTTGTGCCAGTATCCAGTAGGGTCCTGACATTCCATGCAGCGACCATAAGAGGTTGTATAGTTTGCTTTTGTTTAGATCTGTGATTTTTATTGTGTTTTCGCCCCAAAAAAGGATGACGTTTCTGGGTACGGGTGCCCAGTCTGGTTGGTTCTTTCGACAGGCTGTGTTTAGGGTCTGGATTGCACTGCTGCTTAGATCCCAGTGCTTAAATGACCATCTTATCTGTCCCGCCCATGTGCAGAGTTGTGACTAGAGACTCCCGATAGTCATCTCTGCCTGTCCCTGTCGCCACTCGTCCATCGCCATATGACTTTTGGGGATATAGGTGTTTTGATGATGATGAGAGGTATGATGGGCTGGATGGTGGCTGCACAAGAGATGATTTATGTGGTGATGCAGGAGCGCAGGCTACAACCACACATCTTGGCTCTTCTCCTGATCCATTGGTGCAAGTGTTGCAACGGATGGGGAGAGGGAAAGTTGTAATGGACTGCTGATAGTCCATTTTGTTGGGTTTCGCCTTAGTAGCCTTTCCATCAGGCATTGCCTTCGTCCGCCGGTGTAGTCGTTGGGTTTCCATGGTGGTCACCTCTTCTGCCTATACCGCCACTGGGGTCTTGTTGGAGCTCCGTAGGCAGTCTGCCTGATGCTGGGCTCCACTGCAGATTTTTTTTTCGGGGTTTACTCCCGTAGCCATATACCTTCCAAAGTTAATCCGCAAGGCAGTGGGGAAATGGCTGCTAGGCGCCAGGATGTGTCTACATGCCAATGCTCCGTCCCTTTGGGGCCCACTGCTACTCCGAGATCCCCTGCTGGTCTAGCCTTTTTTCTTTTTGTTTACGCGAATTAGCCCACCCAGGCACAGGTCAAATGACCCACAACAGGGCCTGGGGGTGGGGGGGGGGGACAGAAAGAAATTGAAAATAGGGAAGAACAAATTTATACTGTGTTAATCTACACCACGAAGATGACGGAAAACCAGTTACCGTGTGTTGCCACTAGGAGGCACAGCAGAAGTCTTGATGGTGAAGACTTATGCAAGTTGCTTCCCTGTTCGCCAAGAGGGCTAGCCAACGAGAGGGAGAAAGCAGTGTATGCACCTTAACACTATCATAATGCTGCCACACTAGACGCACACCTTGTGTGCGAACACATACACACACATACAAATGCACACACCTATCTATCCATACATACACACACACACAGAGTACACACACTATATATGTATCCGTAACACATAATTATTGTTATTGCAGTACTGTCATTCTGGGAAATAGTGTGTAAAAATAACGAATTTGTCTCAATAAAAAGCTCACGTGTTGTTATATTGTTGGGAGTTAATTATGCAGCAGGGTTGGCGTGACTAATATTAATGACATGAGATATACAGCCCAGTGCTTATGTTGCCACACTACACTACCAGTTACTGTTCACTATTGAGTGATTAATTATACGGATTATTAGCATGGTAATACACACACACACACATACACAGTGAGCCATTTCTCTATCGTTCACCAACATCATCAGAATGATATAATTCACAAAAAAAATATATTTGGAATTGTATTAACCCAAATAATAAATACTTTGGCCATTTCTTCCAATATCAGGGAATGAGGTAAGTCTAAGAATTTTCCATTGAGTTTTAGAGGGAAATATTATCCTAATTTTAAACGAATATTGTATAAGCACCATGATAATGCCACCCCTCATCCTCTCCCCCTCCCCCTCCCGCTTCCCCCAGTTTGGGACGAAAGTAAAGCAGAATACTCGAGCCTTCCCACAGGCTCTCTGGGAAACTTTTGAACATTGGCGGGCTTGGAGAGGACTGATCCTCAGTTTCCTGGTGTATAATTTAACTATATTAAGAAATGTAGTAACTGGAATATACCATTTGCCACATTAACGACTCTGGGATGTTGTGAACCATGATATGTTCCGTATAGAGACTCAGTCAGGGCTTCTCGTCTCAGATGAATCATGCTACCCAGTCAGGCATAACAACTGTTCATATGTAGTCCAGGTAAATCTTTCATTATGTTTCCCCAACTTTATGAAATCATCAGACAAAACTGTGGAGATAGTTTTGTCGATCACTGTACAGTCCCACAAAAAGTATCATTATCCATGGAATCGATGTGTTTCATGGTCTTGTAAGCAGTGTTGGACTACTAGGTTCGGAACGGTTGGTACAGTCGACCATTAGTATTGGTATACACCTTTATCGACTGTGTTGATTAAATTGTCTGGTAACACTTCCGCTGTGTAGAGAACTGCCAGAGTTTCAAAATGATCAGTAACGTTACTTTCTGAGGAGACTGTTCACACCCCCCCCCCCCCGTGCCATGAACAATGTACACCGCAAATATGCGCATGCACACCCACACACACACCAATGACCTTCAAAATATATGAGTAAACAAGACGACTGGCACCACGTAGGCCTTCGTCTGTATGTATATTATGTATGCTGTATGTATATTATGTATGCTGTATCTATATTATGTATGCTGTATGTATATTATGTATGTTGTATGTATACTATGTATGCACTCCATTTATAAATATTACCTATTTAGCTAGCAGAATGTGGCAATGTGTTTTTCATGTCACCACACGCTTAGATAATGTGCCTGGCGACATCTGGAAGCTGCTAATGTACCACTTGCCACATGTCGCCTGAGAGGTCAGGTGACCCATAGAGAGATGTCAGTTGACCTATAGAGAGTGTAGGGAACCGCCGTCTTGGCAAGCGCACCTCTGTACAATCCAGCAAATATAATCTACAAAACTCTACAGGTGTTTGTGTTCACTCCTGTATTTAGAAGAACATGTACACTCGGAAACCATAATCTCTAGCCCACTTGGGTCGGTACTGGAGGTTACAAAAGTGTCCTTTCTGGACAGGGGCCCACTCTAACTATCACGAGGCAACACACACACGAATACACAGTCATAGTACGGCTGTATAGG